GGCTTAACGAACGAGCCGAACACGAGTTGTTCACGAACAACGAGCCAAATTAACAGCCCTAATCCAAACATTTTGGATATCAAATTTGAATAATATAAACTGCTTATTTGGAAAAGCTGCCCCCCAACAAACCCTTAAATATGAAAACATTGACACGAATATGTATTGGAGTTTACATTTACTTGGAACATAGGGGTTGACAGTTTAGTTTTCTACTTGAAGCAGCGGATTCAAATCACACGTATTGCCCTTTGGGCTTAACTTTTCCTATCAATTTCGAACATGCATCCGTAGCCTTACGTCGGGATTTTGTTCTTTGTGGCTTGCATTCTGTTGGATTAAATATCCATTTAAGACAATATCATGATAGTAATTCTCATCTTAGAGCTCATATTCAAAGCTAACTCTGGGTTCGAGCACTCAATCAGCCAATAAATAAGAATAACATCTATGTCAGCATATGATGATATCACTGATCAAATGTGTAGGTTGATTTATTAACCCTTTTGATAAAGGTTCACAACAAGTGATTATATTATATCTCAAATTCTTCTTTGATCATTAACTTTCTAAAACGCGTCGAGCACTCAATCTAAACCCTAAATCAGACCCAATACTATTCTAATGGTTTCTCTAGTTCACTTTATAGCTTGTATTTATGTTCCATGCCTGAGTAGCCCTAGGAAAGTTTAAAACAGATTGGAATTTTGTCATAAAATATGTCATCATCATCATCAATTCCATTACAATTATGTATCTAAAACCTAAAATTTGATATTATCATTTATAATATTTTGGTGTCATGAACCTATACATGAGATTGGGTCCGTCACTTTTAAAATGACAGTAATAATGAAGTTTTTAATGTAATATTAAAGATTATTGGTAGATATAGAAATATGAAGATTTAGGCGTTACTTGTATAAATACACATATAAATGTGTATATATTTTTGCCACTGGGACATCAAATCCACCATACGTTGTTCGGATCACCATCCGAACGGCCAGGATGCTCTAACGATCCCCACGATGGAGCAGTCCGTCTTTTGACCTCTTCTCCGTCTTCTTCATCTCCGAGCTACCCTTCTCTCTAATCCGAGCTCTAAGAAATCTCTGCTCTGCATAAAACACTGTAGATCTCTCAGCTTGCAGTTTCTTTGGTTTTGATAACAATGGCGAACGCCGATATTCTGAAGATAGAGGAAAATCTCCTCCATTTCTCCATCTTTGACTTCCCTTCAGGCTGATCTTTTCTGCAAAACTCCTCCTTTTTTCTTATTATCATCATATTTTCCCAGTTCTGTAATAAGATTACAAAAAAAAAGATGGTTTTTTGGATCTGGGTTGACTCTTTTGACTTTATTGGTATTGAGCGTTCTGATCTCTTCCCTTTCAGGTGAGGGTTTGAAATCTCGCGGGCAGCTGATTGAGAGAAAGATTGAAGCTTTGGAGAAATTGGCTGGCAAGGTGATTTCTTTTGAATTTCTTTGAATTTTTACTTCCTTTTTTCTATTTTTTGTTTTCACTGAAAAGTTTAGGTTTTGATGATTTATATAGTAAATGGTTGTATGATGTTCAGGTTAGTAATAGAAGATCGCGTAGGTGGATGAATGATCGGTTACTGATAGAGCTGGTTCCACGCCTTAGAGTTGAAGAAATAAGAGGCTTATTTGCTCCACCTCCTTGGGGTAAATATCTACAGTATTACTCAGAAACTTTAAGTAGTTCACATATTTGTTTGATAACAATCATTTCTGTATATATTTGTTCTATGGTAGTAGCTAATTCTTATGAGGATTCACTCTATAACATGATTTTAGTATATATAACTTCATCTAGCATCAATTGCATTGTTTTTTCTTGTATGCCCTGCATTATTCAATAGTTTTTTTGGGAAATTTACATGCATGGCATACAATTCCTATGTTTTTATATATCGAACACTCAAAGTTTGATATTTTACACTTTTAACAGCTTGTTGTCACAAACCTATGCATGAAGATGTGTATTTCATATTTAAACAGGTAGTGATTGTAGTATTTTTGATGCGATGTTAAAGATTTGAGTGATATGCATGTGGTTATGAATATTTAGGTGTTAGGTAAATACATTGAGATAATATTATAGCCATCCAATTGGAAATTTATGACACAGTAAAAGTTCGATTCTAGACAAGTTTCTTAAATTATAGGATCGATTTATGACACAGAAATCTTTTAAACCAAAGCTTAGGGGCCTCAAAACAATTTCTTTTCAGACCTTCTGTTTTGCAGCCACTGCCCATCATGCAATTACAGAATTGGCAGTTAAATAGATAAAATTGTTTCAACTTTTTGTATTTTTATAAATGAAATAAAAATTGGACCAAATTTGTGTTATGGAAACCAAGACTTCAATTTCTTGTTGCAATCTTTATTAGTTTTGGATATTTTCTGTATGTTTGATATGTGCTTCCATACTGACTTGTACAGGTGAAAGTACTCCTCTATCAGCATTTTGCATGACAAATGTTGCAGAATGGGATGCATTCAGGAGCATTGATATGGATAAAGAGGTCTCCATTTCTGTTCCCATATATATATTATTTTGATTATCTTTACACTTCACTCTTATTGCATTATAATCCTTTGCTTTTCTTGGTTGAGTCAAATATAAGGTTACTAGACTTTGTTATTACTGATTAAGAAGTCATAGGAGAGTTTAAACTAGCTAGAAAGCTTAATTGAGTTTTTTTCCGAGGTGATTACTATGATTTAATATCAATTTTGATCATAAATAGTATGGATGTTTGTTGAATTTAATATACACACCTTAATATATATATGTATATGGATACTATACATGTACATTTATGCATTTTAATATTTGATTGCTTTTTATTCGTATGGAGCTGGTTCTATATTTCTTAACATTCCATAACCTATTACCTTTTCTTCAAACAAGGCAAGGTTGATAGGAGCACTTGAGAAGGCTCCTTCAAGCATAAAAGAGAGTGTTGAGAAAGATAAGTTGGTGGTTTTAAATGCATGGCACCGAGTCGATTGTCGATCTCGGGAGGCATTTCGGCACAAATTGCTATCAGAATTGGTCGAGAATTATGAGGTATGGTGTTCATTCTAAAACATGCTCCTTCATCATTTGCTTTTTTGCATCTACTTCTTGTTGTTTTTAGTTATATTTGGTTTTCATCTAAGAGTTGCTCTATACCATACATCAACAAAATTCATGGAATTTAAGAGGTTGTTTTGAACCATTGGCCTTTCTTCTAAGGAAAGTGAGCAAGAATGATTGCAAAGTCATCTCTATATTTTTTTTTCTTCTTTTATGTAAGTTTTGGGTTCAATTCCTTGCTTTTTTGCATAATTACATTTATAATGTCCATATCTCTCCTATTTATATAACTAACACCCAACTGATATTGCCTAAGTCTTGAAAAGCACAACAAAACCTCAATCCATATTTTACACCTTCATCAAGTTTTTTTTTTCAATTATTACACATAAATACACAAGTTCAAAATACTAAATGTTTTTTTCTGTAAAAAAGAAAGTTTTGGGGGGTATATTAGTAAATCCTCTTTTTTTTTTTTGGGTTCAAAATATCATTTTTAACTTGTTTCTGGTTGCATTCAAAACTCTATTTTGTTTCAGGAGCAAATACAAGCTTTCATTAAGGATGGGAATGATGAAGATGTTCTTAAGCTGCATGTTCAGAACCCTTTTCACAGATTATTGCTGCATGGTGTATGCGAGGTAAATATTTTTCAGGAAAAAAAAAATCCTATACAAACTTCATATAGGAATTTCCGATACACAGCATCTGATTTGCTTACACGTGTTCATAACACTGTAGAAATCAATATATAACTATACTCAGAAATGGAGTTACATTGTGCGGGGTGTGTTACATTGTGCGGTCTGTTAATTATGGTAATTTTAAGAGGTGAAGAATTTTGGGAGCTAGATTTTATTTATAACCGCCAGATTTGCTTTGAAATTAGTGCAATATATATGATTAAATTATAAAAGTTTAATTTGTATAAAAATCTTCCTGAGTACAATTTGGTGAGGATGGCATGACATTTTTTTCTATCTGAATAGATGTCAGGCTTCAAGACTTATTCATTTACTTATAGGGGGGCATTTACATACATACAACCCAATTCCTTTGCATTTACATTTCTAACACCTAATCTTTTTAGGTTGATACCACCCAAATATTTCATATTACATCAAAAATACCACTATTTTAACTTTTAAAAAGTGATTCACTTTTTCATGCATAGGTATGTAAAAATTGAATTTTTGGTGTTAGATATGTAAATGCATAGAAGTTGAGTGTTATTTATGTAAATTATGTTTTTTTCAGTAGAAAATTGAAAGATTGATTGTCTCTTTTAGGTTTGTAGCACACAATTTCTTATGGATTTACATGTCTCACACTTAAAACTTTCATATTTACAGACAACACTTTTGTGCTTTAAACCGATGCAAGAAAATGAGTATTACACTTTCAAAAACCGAAAATAATGCAAATAATGCTATGTGATATTGATGGTTTGAGTGTGTAAATTTGAAGGTTTAAGAGCGAGATATGTGAATGGTAAACACATAAGAATCATGTGCTATGCATGTATAATGCCTCAACAACATTCTATGTGTAATCTATTATTTTTGGTTAAAATTGTAATTTCTGATTTTTCTTTTTTGTTCATTGCAGTATTATGACCTGATATCCGCAACAGCTGCAGCAGAAAACTCCAACAGGTTGAAGGTGACGCAAATTAGAAAGAAAAGAAGCTCCAAAAAAGAAGCTCTTCCAGGCATCAGTCTATCTGAGTTTCTGAAGATTTCAAAGGATGGGTTTCTGATGGAATAAACCTTGTGAATTAATTAATTTGCATGAAAGGGAGAAGAAACTTCACAAAACCTGCATTGCACATATTCACATTTGGTTCCTGGGTACTGCTGTAAAATATATTGTGCAGGGTGTAAATTATGCTATTTTTTTTATAAATGTGTAAATCATGAACTTTTTGGTTCTGGGATGCATTTAACTTAAGTTTTTTTTCAGTTTTATTTTATTTTTTATATATTTTGAACAGTATATGTTAATCCATTGGATGATTATTCGCTTATTATAATTGCAATATTATTGTGATTAAAATATAGACTTCGGAATGGCTTCAAATTAAATACACCAAACATCAATGATATCTTGCATGTTCATGATGATTAAGCATGTCCCCGCACACATCTAAAGTAGGACTGGATGAGTAAAGAAGATGATATAGAAGAGTTCAATGTTATTTGAATGATAACTATAAAAGGCAATTTAATGACATTTTACCAATTATTTTCAAATTTTATAAGTACTTACACCCAATATACAAATGAAAATGTATGATTAAATATTTCTTCTTTATATAGTATAGCCTTTTAACCTACAGAATGTGCCAATCTGCAAAAAAC